TAGCCCAAGTGTCGGACCCCCGCGTTCTCTCATCTGGCGCCCGCAAGATCTCGGCTCCAATCGTAATTGCTCTACTACTCGATGGTCAGATTCAGGTTCAATCTCTCTCTCTCTCTCACAACTAATTCTTAATCTCTGATGTCGCTGTAAATATGGATGTGAAGGGAAGCATACTTCCCTTGGAGGATATTAACGATCAAGAATCGATGCAAGTTTTTGTGCGTTCGCGCCTTATTGTATCTAAGGGTTATTTCTCACAGGTTTCAAGGTGCCAAAGTAGTTCCAATATCGTGTGCATGATAATGTGTGTCTTGGAAGAGTCTAGTTTGGTTGTTCTCGTAAAAGTGATGTTTTGATAGTTGTGGTAGGCGCACATGTGCGTGTGTGTACTCACCTGATTGTACACACCTAATTGTGCTTGCGGGGGTTGAGCTTTGGATCTTTGGTCCCGCCTTTCAACTGTCAATCAACTGGTGTACAGATTCCTGAGCCTATTGGGCTCTATCATATCTACATTTGAAACTGTGTATGGAGTCAGCCTCCACCACATCACTGCCTAATGCATTCTTTTATTAACTACTTTGACACTGAAAAAATTCTTTCTAACGTCTCTGTGGCTCATCTGGGTACTAAGTTTCCACCTGTGTACCCTTGTTCGTGTCCCAGCCGTGCTGAAGAGTTTGTCTTTGTCCACCCTGTCAATTCCCCTGAGAATTTTGTAGGTGGTTATCATGTCTTCCCTTACTCTTCTGTTTTCCAGGGATGTGAGGTTCAGCGCCTTTAGCCTTTCCTCGTAGCTCATTCTTCTCAGTTCCGGGACGAGCCTGGTGGAATACCGCTGAATCTTCTCTAACTTTGTCTTGTGTTTAACTAGGTATGGACTCCAGGCTGGAGCAGCATATTCCAGGATTGGTCTTACATAAGTGGTATACAGGGTCCTGAACGATTCCTCACACAAGTTTCTAAAGGCAGTTCTTATGTTGGCCAGTCTAGCATATGCCGCTGATGATATTCTTTTGATGTGGGCCTCTGGGGACAGGTTCGGTGTGGTATCAACCCCCAGATCTTTCTATATGACTTGCAGGATTTCACATCCCAGATGATACCTTGTGTTCAGCCTCCTGCTCCCTTCGCCTAATTTCATTACCTTACACTTTCCTGAGTTGAACTTTAGCAGCCATTTTCAAGACCATTCCTCCAGTTTGTCTAGATCATCCTGTAGTCTCTGTCTATCTTCATCCGTCTTGATTCTTCTCATAATTTTTGCATCATCAGCAAACATTGAGAGGAATGAGTCTATACCCTCTGGAAGATCGTTTACATATATTAGAAACAGGATGGGTCCAAGTACTGAGCCCTGTGGGACTCCGCTGGTGACATCTCGCCACTCTGATGTCTCCCCCCCCCCCCGCTTCACAGTTACTCACTGTTTCCTGTTGCTTAGATACTCCCTTATCCACTGGGGCACCTTCTCTTTTACTCCTGCCTGTTGCTCCAACTTTTTTAACAGCCTTTTATGGGGTACTGTGTTAAAGGCTTTTTGGCAGTCCAGGAAAATGCAGTCGGCCCACCCTTCTCTTTCCTGCCTAATTTTCGTTGCCTGGTCATAGAATTCTATTAAACCTGTGAGGCACGATTTACCATCCCTGAACCCATGTTGGTGGTGCGTTACAAAGTTATTTCCCTCCTGATGCTCTACGAGCCTTTTCCTCACGATCTTCGCCTTTCATGGTATACAAGTTAGGGAAACCGGCCTGTAGTTCAGTGCCTCTTGCCTGTCACCCTTCTTGTATATACTGTACTTACTGTATATATATCTTGTGTGTGTGTGTGTGTGTGTGTGTGTGTGTGTGTGTGTGTGTGTGTGTGTGTGTGTGTGTGTGTGTGTGTGTGTGTGTGAGCGTGTGTGTGAGCTCCACACTCCACACGCTGCATGCACTGTATATGGAGTGTGCGTGCATTTGAATACTGTGTGCCGAGTCTGTGAGTTTTAGGGAGCTTCAGTAAAACTAGTTTTACTGGATATGTTAATGGATTAACTTGAAAACGAGAATGTTTTCAAGTTTTAAAAACTTGTCCCAAAGTTTTCTGTATTCTCTGGAGTAATAATTTTTCAGGTACAGCCTTGGCTATAATCTCTTTCTTGAAGGCAGTAGACTGAACTTTGGCATTCATCATCTTTAAGTTCAGCTTAGACGTCCCCCTGCCCTTTGTGAAAGTCTTTTATCTATAAACCTTATGATCTTGACCTTGAAGTTTAACCTCCAGGATCTTAAGCTGGAACTTCAACTGCAGTGACCTTCTGCAGAAACATCTTTGACACTTATCTTAGATTTAAGCACTTATGGTCTAGAGTTTGGCAATACAAATATTTATACTAATCCCTTAATGCCTTCAAAGTAGCAATCAAAATCTAAAATTCTAAAGACCTTCCGTGGTAGAAGGAATACCAGTTCAGGTACTGAGAGAATAAAATACATCTCAAAGGGAAAAAGTAGCTTTGGCTATTTCTTCCCTCCTTGGAGGAATACCAGCCCTTCACGGGCTCACCATAGCCCGTGCTACTTGGAACTTTTTGTTCCAGGTAGTGAATCTTTAACAACAACAACAATCTTCACAGAGATGGAGTTCTCATTATCAAAGCCTAAGTCAACTATTGATCTTCAAGGTGCAACACACAACAGTCGACTAAATTTCACAGGTTTCTATTTACTGTTGAGTGAACAGAGGCCATAGGTAAGGGTGTCCTAACTCATCACCCTGCCTGGGAATCGAACTTCGGTTATATTGGTTTCGAACCAATTACCAACGCTCGTAATGCCTTCAGGAACTCGGATAAAGTTTCCATCCAATTTTTTTTTTCTTCAGATGTTAAACGCATCCTTGAGTACGCAGCTTCACTACCCAATCCCCAGCATAAAAATTTGCATAAAATTATGCAACAAGACTCGTTCTTGAGCTTAGTGGAATTAAATACGAGAGGAGACACGATAACGACATGAAAGATTACAAAGCAAATTGATAAATTAGAAGTAAGAGCAATATTCAGTACTAGGAACAGCAGATCCAGAAGGTAAGTATGAGGAGCAAACACCAAGCTAGAATGATTATATATATAACACTTGGAGGAAACCTGAGAACAATGAGGTTAATTTGACGATTGCGTGACGTAATTCTATCCAACCCCTTGGACCATCGGGAATTGAACGCCGACCACGCAACAAGCCAGGTCGCTGCTCTTCCATCCAGTCCAAGTGGCAGGGAGAAACAGAGACCATAAATGTAAAGGAGATACAAGAGTCGCAAGTGTCAGAACAACTTCACTGTTAAGTCGTAAAGAAGTGGAATGAGTTGGGCGAAAAGTGGTCGAGTCTAATTTAATACTCAGTTTTAACTGTGCGATAAGATAGACGAGACACTCGTCTCGTCTTGTTGTCTAGTTGTGGTTACCCGGTGTAACCACAACTAGGTGAGTACTGTGAGCGTTGTGTGTGTGCCTCGGCTTTGTTGTTTTGGCCACAGGAACCTGCGGTGTCGAGGAAGACCAACACGGAGAGAAAGCAACAGGGAAGGGAGAGAGAAAGCAACAGGGAGGAGAGAGAAAGCAACAGGGAAAGAAGAGAGAAAGCAACAGGGAAAGAAGAGAGAAAGCAACAGGGAGGAGAGAGAGAAAGCAACAGGGATGGGAGAGAGAAAGCAACAGGGAAAGAAGAGAAAAAGCAACAGGGAGGGGAGAGAGCAACAGGGAGGGGGAGAGAAAGCAACAGGGAGGAGAGAGAGAGAGCAACAGGGAGGAGAGAAAGTGAGAGAAAGCAACAGGGAGAGGGGAGAGAGAGAGACAAAGCAACGTGGGAGGAGGAAGAGAGCGAGAAAGCAACGGGGAGAAGGGAGGGAGAGAGAAAGCAACTAGGAGGGGAGAAAAGACAACAGGGAGGGGATGGAGAGAAAGCAACAGGGAAGGGGAGAGAGAAAGCAACAGGGAGGGGAAGAAAGAAAGAAAGCAACAGGGAGGGGGAGAAAGAAAGCAACAGGGAGGGGAGGGAGAGAAAGCAACAGCGAAGAAGAAGAAGAAAGCAACAGGAATGGGGGATGGAACGCGTGACTGGGACCAGAGAGAGGAACGGGGATTTTGACAGCAAGATATCATAAGATATTTTAACATCTGTGATATCAATTACGTTCCAACCATTCACCATTAATACAATATATACATACATTAATACAAGATATACATACATGAATAAAGCGCCGTCAAACTAGAAACTTAACCAGTTTTTTGTGGGAAACTGGTTTGAATGTATTTATTGGAATACATTGCAAGCACTGGTGAACCTAGCCAGATGCACTGGGATAGGAGACCTGAGATGCATCCCACGACCTTTGCAGCATCCTCGATCCACTTCCGGTCATTCCATTGCCGAGTTACTGAAATTAATATTAAATAGTTCTAAATAAAATAATTTGCAATTGTAATAATTGTTTCAATTATGATAATTAAAATTAAAATAAATTAATAAGACAGGAATAAATTAATAAATATTTTAATTGTAATAATTATTTTAAGAATAATATACTAAATTGCTTAAGAGCTAAAAGTATATGTTCTTAGCTTATTTGTACGAGTTTTGCTGATCTTTATATTCATGTATTTTGCATGGAAGGTTAACCAGACCACAATTGAGAATGCAGAAGCTGCATTAAAACAAGGGAGAGGGAGGGAGAGGGAGAGGGAGAGAGAGGGAGAGGGAGAGAGAGGGAGAGAGAGGGAGAGGGAGAGAGAGGGAGAGGGAGAGGGAGGGAGGGAGGGAGGGAGAGAGGGAGAGGGAGAGGGAGAGAGAGGGGAGAGGGAGAGAGAGAGAGGAGGAGAGAGAGGAGAGGGAGAGGGAGAGAGAGGGAGAGAGAGAGAGAGGGAGGGAGAGAGAGAGAGAGAGAGGGAGGGGGAGAGAGAGAGAGGGAGGGAGAGAGAGGGAGGGAGAGAGAGGGAGGGAGAGAGAGGGAGG